AAGGCAAGGTTGGTTGCAAAAGGTTATACACAAGAGGAGGGCATAGATATTTTTGATACTTTTTCCCCTGTGGCTAAAATTACAACTGTTAGATTTCTTGTTGCCTTAGCATCTCTTAAACAGTGGCATATTCACCAATTAGATGTCAACAATGCATTTTTGCATGGTGATTTAAATGAAGAAGTTTGCATGTCACTTCCCTAATGCTATTGTCCTGATTCTGAAAACAAAGTGTGTAAACTAACAAATAGTCTACATGGCTTGAAGGAAGCTTCTAGACAATGGTTTCAAAAGTTGACAACTTGTTTGCTTTCATATGGCTTTACTCAGTCTATTGTTGATTGCTCCCTTTTCTTCATGTCTGATTCTGTTTCTTTTACCATTTTGCTTGTTTATGTTGATGACATCATCCTCACTGGCAACAACATGAACAAAATATCTGATATAAAGAAACATTTAGATGAATGTTTTACCATTAATGATTTAGGTAAACTCAAGTACATACTAGGTCCTGAATTTGTTCATTCTGAAAAGGAAATTCATATGTGTCAAATGAAATATGCCTTAGACATTCTTAATGATACTTGTCTCCTTGTATGTAAACCTGCCTCAACCCCTATGGATGCTTCTCTGAAATTGAGCAATAATGATACTTTTCTTGTACTAGATAATCCCTCTGAATATAAGAGGTTAGTAGGTAGACTATTATATCTAACCATTAGCAGGCCAGACATTGCATACTCTGTTCAAACATTAAGTCAGTTTATGGCTAAACCTACTGAAAAACATCTACATTCAGCTCAGAGAGTATTAAGGTATGTCAAAGGCACCATTGGACAAGGTATACTCTTTCCTAAATCCTCTACATTACAGCTTACACCATATTCAGACAATGATTGGGCTTCTTGTGTAGACACTAGAAAAAGTGTCACTGGTTACTTAATATTTCTTGGTGATTCTCTCATCTCATGAAAATCTAAGAAACAACCAACTATAAGCAGGTCTTTAGCTGAAGTTGAGTACATGGCTTTAGCTTATACATCCTGTGAAAATCAATGGTTGATTTCTCTATGCACTGAGTTAAAAATACCACTTACTGCTCCTGATTCTGTTTTCACAGATAGTAATTCAACTATAGCAATGGTTGATTTCTCTATGCACTTAGTTAAAATCGCTTGAGAGGAAGTCGCTTAAGAGGACCAAGTTTCATGAACCGCGCTCTACGATCGGCCTAATCAATGTCAATAATGTGAACCCTTAGGATATCTTTATAGGATATCTTTTATTATAGAATATAATCCTAGTGCTCTAAGATTAATTTATTTGCTTTCCTTAGTGCTTCCCTTAATTTAGTTATGAATATTTGTTTGATTAAAGTTTTCATGTCATCTTGATATGAAAGCCTTATTTAGCTCTTTGTATTCCTTTATAAACAACAACAACATACTTAGTATATTCCCAACTGGTTGGGGTTGGGGGTAAGTTGTACGTAGACCTTACCCTTGTAATTATACAATGAGACTCTTTCCGTAGCGACCCAAGGTGCATTGCGTCGTTTGATATATTTTTTCTAGAAACTTCACTAATAGAAGAAGCACTAGAACTTAATTGAGCCATTTTGATCTAGTCAATTATTAGAATTATGCCAGAAGAATAGTCAACAATGACTCTTTCCAGCTCCATTTGCAATGGACAATCTTTGTATTGCTTTATATAAGCAATAAAATAACACAAAAAAATGTGTCAATTCAACAATACCAAACAAGAGCGTGTTCTTTTTTGTTCGCGTGAGTTTTCTTTTGTGTCTTGTGTTTTGGCCGAGATCTCGCCGACAAACGAGTATTTTCTTTCTCCATAATATACATGTCTAAATGGACAATGTACTGTAACACCCCGCCTTATCGTAAAATCAGAGTGCGAAAATTTCGCAAAGTTATTTAAAAATAACTTTGCGAAAACTGATTTGGGGTGCTACTTTAAAATCGTGACTTAATTTGGAAAACCGTTATTTTATTTTATTTTTTTTAATAAAATCATACTGATACTGAAACATAAAGTTTTCCAAAAGTCCGTTCAAAATGTAAGTTCATCAAAAGTCATCAAAACATCATTAGCGGAATCGTAAATCATCAATATACATATACAGTCAAAACATAAATGTCCTGAAGCCTCCGTCACGTCACGCTCCCGGCCTGACATCCTGACCTGAAAAACATGATAAAAGTGGGAAATGAGCACTATGGCACTGTGCTCCGTGGAAACTCATACTAATGTAAAAACTGAAAATAATAACAACATCATGATATCAGTATATATATAACCTCAACCTCAACCTCAAGCCGGTAATAACATGAACATGAATCTGTAATCGTCACGCAAACGTGACCCTGACCGTTACCTCATCTGCCGGCAAAGCCGGACACCATGTGCACACTCTAGTAAGCAGACTAGGGCCACTAGAACCCAGAATGGACCGGCGACCATTCCGAGCGGATACCTCAACTGAAATACATAACTCAAACATGGTACCGTAATTATAATCAATGTAGTACT